TCCTTAAGCTCCTTTGGGGCCATACGATAAGGAGCCATTGAAACGGGAGTGGAACCAGAATATACTTCAATCTCAAATTCAACTTCTCTATCCGGAGGTAATCCAGGCAACTCCTCAGGAAAAACATCGGGAAATTCCTTGACAATTTGGATGTCTTCAATATCATATTGAGAACTCCTAGTATCCAAAATATAAGAAAGAAACGCCTTAGAACCTTTCCTGATCATCTTCTTAGCTACCAAAGCATACACAACATTTGTCAGAAATCCACGGCGTTCCCCGATCTTTACAATATTTCGATTATCTGGGGTCTTCAAAACAGCTCTCTTGGTCTCAAAATCAATATTTACTCGATGTTTGTTTAATAAATCTACGCCGAGAATCAAATCAAACTCTTCCAAAGGTAACTCTATCAGGTCAGCCAGAAAAATCTCCCCATTGATCTCTATAGGACACTCTCTAAAAATACGATCCAACACAATAAACTCGCCAAGGAACTTTGAACTATCACTGAATGCTCAATATTCTCAACAGGAATATTTAGACCCTAAAAAACAGAATATGATAAATAGGAATTTTTAGAGCCATTGTCAAACAAGGCAAAGTAGGGAATTTAATGAATAGTAACAGTACCTGCAATCACATTAGGCCCATCGCGATCCTGTTGAAGTCTAACAGTGTAAACCAATGCAGGTTGTCTGGCCTCAGATCTGACTGGACCCCTACCTTGAGATGCTCGGCCTCTACTAGTCGATCCAAGTTCTCTCTCTTGAGTACGACCCCCTGCTAGAGTCTGAACTGTACTATGAGAACTAGCGGGAGCACGAGCTATTGTCTGAACTGAATGAGATAACTCTGGACAATCCTTTACAATATGGTCACCTGAACTACATCTAAAACAAGTACCCAATCTCCTCCTGCATTCCCCAAAATAAGGTCTCCCACAATAATTACACAGTTGCAAAGGCTGCGACCAAGAAGAACCAGCATGTCTAGAAGAATGTACAGCTGAAGAATCGGATACCACAGGCCTGACACCAGCCCCACATCTCTGAAAAGACGCATTCCTGCCTCTCTTGCTAGGGTGTGCAGAAGAATCAACAGAACCAGAAGGCCTCCTGAATCGGGTTTGAGCTCGATCAATATCTCTCTTGTGCTCCATACCCAATCGCTCTATTTTCTCAACAGTCTTGGCTATCTCAACCAATGCATCAAAATTCCTCTCCCGGTGAGTAGCAACTCGGCTCATGATTTCATATCGGGGTCCATTCTCAAACCTTAAGCATTTATTTGTCTCTGTCTCAACAAGTCCAGAAGTATAACGGCTCAATCGGATAAACTCAACCTCGTAATCCATAACAGATATGCTACCCTGCTCCAGATTTTGAAACTCCTGACGTCGCTCCTGCAGGTATCTCTCTCCGATGTAGCGACTCCGGAAATGCGTCTTAAAAAGATCTTATGTTAACTGGTTTCTCATAATACTACCAGAAATTTATTGTCACCATCTGAAACTTTCTTTATTTAGCATAGTTAGGGCCCCATTTAACTTCTGCTTAGGTCTCAGATCCATCTTATCCATAATCCTCTCTGTGTCCTCCAGCCAATACTCAACGTTTGTCGGATGTCCACCAGTAATACCCTCGAATGGGACTACACCAGCAGCGACCAAAGAATTTGAAATCTCAATCGCATTCATATTAATAGGGGCTCTAAAACATACGGAATATAGCTCTATTAATGGAGTCTTCGTTCATGTCAGTATCCTCATCTCCAGTGACGGGAGGGTCTTTTACAGGAGTAAATTGATCATCATGAGAAAGAGTCGGATCTACTTGCGGAACAGGAGGATCACGTGGTGACATCGGATCGTCTATCGTAACAGAAGGTCGAGTGACTCGTCTTCGACCACGGCCACGTCCTGTCCTACGACCTCTAGCAACACTCATCATTAGATCTATAAGGCTCTACAGAAAGAATTTGAAACATATGTCAGATTAGCATCAGGTATCTCAAGAAAACTTTAAATCATAATATAATGTGACATTTTTTTTCTTTCAAAATTTCTTAAAAATCCAAAGTTTAGGACCCATATACAGTCCGAGTGTTTAAAACTGAAAGCTCTGATACCACCAAATGTAACCCCTCAGACCCGGTCTGTAAGTTAGACTCAAACCTAAGTGGTCACATATCTCATTCAGAGATTTTTTTTTAAATTTATAACAACTTATAAAACATTACAGATAATACATAACAAGATATCGATGATACAAATATATCCAAAATGATAGCAAAATACATGTCACCAAATACAACTGAAAAACATATAGAGATATACTTTCGTACAAAATAAAGTAGTTGATCTCCCCTGATGCCAAATCTGCTAGCTTACGGTCTGCTTCTATCTGAAAAAGGTTAAAATTTACAGAATGAGCTAAAAAGCCTCAATGTGCTCCATACAGTGTATAAAAATATACTAATAAAATATTTCAATAAAATTTGTTTATGCAACATGTTTTGAAAACATGAACACTACCCCCATCCTTTCACAATCTATTTGTGTAGGTTCCCCAGAACCATACACCTCGCACAACCAGTAAGGCCCTAAGCACACAGCCGAGGAGCCTGCAGATAATCTTCCTCCAACAATATTTCCCCCCAATGATAGTAATGAACATGAATGTATTTAAGTAAAACAATAAATAATTCTTTAAAAACATAAGAATGTTTCAAGCTTGAAAACCATAAGTAGAAATACAGAAATAAAAAATCAAACAGTAATGTATGGTAATTCAGATGTTGGGTAATTAGTATTCAGAAATCGGTATAAAATACAGTAACCAGAAATCATATCAGAAATATGCGATAAATCAGAAATCAGATACATAGTATTCATATATATATATATATATATATTAAAAAAGTAATGTAATACTGTCAGGAAACACACCTGTAACAGTTTGAGAAATCAGATAGGGGAGCCTATTACTGGGTCTGTCGATCACACTCTGCTGCAGCGCTAGATCCTACGAATTGGAAAAATCATTATTGGAATCCTAATATAAATAATCTTCATCTTTATTCAAATAATATACGGAAACCTACGGGTAATTCTTGTAGTATGTGTTTCGGGCTGATCTAACGAACATACAACACCATACCTAATTAATCCTCGCTCAGGTGAAACACGAGTACCTTCATAAAATATTTTACTGAATCAATTCTTTAACCAAATCTCAAATAAATAATCAGAATACTAAAATACTAAGCCTTTTGGGTTCACATGCTCGATTCGGGAATTTTGGGTCAGAATTTGGAAAAACAGACTTTGGAATCAGATTCAGGACGTCGAAAAACATAAAGTATGACCTTTCGGAAATTTGAATTCTTGGTCAAAGTCAAAGTCAACGGGTTTAACTGATAATATGGAGACTTTCGGGTTTGAATTTGGCGAAACAGGCCCCAAAAACGGATTTGGGACGTCAATAAATGTCAAGATAGGTATACTCATAAAAGATTAACGGCCGGTCAAAGTTCTGGTCAAAGGTGGTCAACAGATGATCAACCATTTTACACAATTATCACCCTTTTAAGAAATATTTACGAAAATGTCACCCTTTTAAAAATAATTACGAAAATATCATTTTTTAAAAAATAATTACGAAATTATCACTTTTAAAAAAATTACAAAAATAGCACCATTTTCAAAATAATTACAAAAATACCACCCGGTCAACAGGTCGGGTCAACGGGTCAGAACCGGTCAAACCGGTTATTTTAACCTTCCCCACGTGCAGTGGCGGCACATGGGACCTCTTCCGTCAGCGTAAAATTCGCATAAAAATTTTAAAAAATTATTTTGAGCGATTTCGAGGTACTTACAAAGCTCAGTTCAAATTTTTGAACGGCGGAGAGCTCGATTTCAACAAATTAAAAACTTTGACCGCTTCACCTCCTCACGCGCCGCCGTCTACGGAGACCAAGGATGACACCGGCGAACTCGGAACGACACAAGGAACACGATGGTGCGGGAGGTGTCGAAAACCGAGCGACGATCAGTGATAAATTTAAGATTTTCTCGGTGATAGTGCTAAAAACAATCGAGACTTTGACTTGAAATTTACGACGTTTGGCAGCGTTTCACTTCAATTAATTTAAGAGGTTTGTTCCTCGCTCGATGATAAACACTATGGTGTTTTCAAAATAACAATCGGAGGTCGGACGACATCGGGATCGTGGTTGGAAAATGAGATGTGTGGGAGGTTAAAACTTAGCAAATTGTTCTGGTATGAAACCATAATCAATTTGCACGCATATAAGCAAAAATTCTGCCGACACTCTTTGGAAATATTCAGTGATTGATCACTGAATTTCCTTCACTTTTTAAAATAGGCTACAAGTTTTTAAAACTTCCAATTAAATCCTTAAATTTTGCCATTTTATTTAATTAAATATTTTTTTTCAAATTTTTGGGTTGTTACAAAAGATGGTGATAAGTGACGGCAACTAGGGGTTTTTGATTTAGAAAAGGGATAGTATCTTTTAGATTATGATATTGAAATAAATTAGGAAAACTGAAAAAAAATTAAGATTAAATTGATATTTTGATATATCAAAATTTTAGAGATTAAATTAAAAATTAACTATTTTAGTGCATCATCATGGTAATGATAATTAACAGTTTAATAATCAAATTATAACAAATCAATAAGTGACAAGTCTTTATAGTTTACCTTTAAATATTCACTGATTTATTATAATTTAAAGATCATTAACAATATGTGTCACCTTCTGATTGAAGAGTTAATTTATTAAATTAAAATTAGGACTAAGTTGATTAAATATAAAAATATTGAGGATCAAATGTATAAAAATACAAATTGTGTTAAATGACTCGTCATAACCTCCGTTAAATATTAATGATATGTGGTTTGAATTACCCCCAATTAAATAGTTAAGTGGTTATATTGATGAAAATTTGGAAATGATGGTCATTTTCACAGAGGAGGAATCATGTTTTGGGCTGATTCTCTTGGATCCAAGTACATCTATTCAAGACTCGAGGAGTGGTCGAATTTATACGGAGGATTTTTTAAGCCTTGTGCCTTCTTGGCTGAAAGAGCTGCCAAGGGTGCTCCACTGGTAAGCATACTCGAAACCTTGAATATTTTTCTATACTAATTGAAAGGCAACGTCATGAGTTTATTGCATGCATTAGAAGCATTGTTTGGCAGCCATTGATTTTCACTTATGCCTCTGTCTTATCATGGCATTCTTTTTCTCTCTCATTCAAGTATGGGAATTTCTCAACTCTTGTTAGACCGAGTGTTCATAACTCGATGTTAAAGTAGTTTAAAGGATTGCGACAATTCATATGTTTCCTCCTTTATGCATTGTGATATCCCTTGTGCTTGTTCTGTTTACCCAGCAACTTTCACCAGAGAATAGGTATGGTCTATGCATATTAACCATTAGGTTGCTTTCCACTTCACCCAAAATCTGGTGTGTGTGTGTGTGTCCATACGGTATATCCGACACAGGTATGTACTTTGGAATATTTCCATGTTTTTGGAGGGTCTTGTTACCATGCGTGCTCATATCCGGATATGCGTTAAGACGCGGTAGTTTCATGAAGAACGAAGTGTTGGAGTATCATAGCTTTCGACAGTTTGGTATCAGAACACTTAATATTTTTACCTGATGATTGGAACTGTTCCATTGCAGAGTGCACCGGTGGAGATGGGAAAATCTAAACTATGAAACTGCTCTGATTGCACTGCTTAAAGATCACCATTGATAGATTAGTAAGCTTTCATTTATGTTGTTTCAAAAAAAGAAAAAGAAAAGAGAGACATGGCGAATCATGGAAAATATTCGTAATAAAAGCATTTCTTATTTCATTAAATATGATTGTGTTTTCTAATAGATCAGATTATTTTTGATCGAGTTTTGCAAAGGCCTATTATAGAAATGACTTTTACAATCTAGTTTATTTCATTCACAACTTGAATCAATTAAACTTAAATTAATTAGTCGTTGATTTATTTTAGCGATTTAAAATATAATATTCAGTATTACGAGGATGTATGATAAATTTGATTTGTAATAATTGATTAATCCATATATATATATATATATATATATATATATATATATATATATATATATATATATAATGAATTGATTTTAAATCAATATTTGTTTATGTATGATATTATGATATATCTTAAAATTATTAAATATAAAAATATTGAAATAATTTATCTATTTTATTTAAATAAAAATATTGTATTTTTATTTTATTTAAATAATAATTATTTTAATTTTAATAATATATCTAAAAGTTCAAATCTTCGTATTCATTAACGCGTCAATTTATAGTTTATATTATATTTGATCCAGTTTCATTGTTTTAAACTTTATACATTAGAAATTGTTTATAACATAAAGAGAAATATTTTTTTTCTAAATTCTAAATTGTTTTATATCAAATTCCATTTTGATTACTTTTAACTGATGTATATAAAATTTATAATCAATGTTTGACAATTCTAATACATTTAATTTATATAATTAACAAAAAAAAATTATTTCATAAAATTAAATTTCAATTTTACTAAACTATTGAAATATCTAAATTAAAATTCTTTTCGATAAAACACATAATTCAGATTAATCAGATTATAAAAAAAAAATCAAAATTTTAATATCCAACAGCTACCAACAACAATAGTAGATTTAATCAATTCTAATATCAAATTGATATTCTATTTAAATTTCAGGGGTGATATTGATATTTTATTTAAATTTCAGGGGTGATAATAAAAATTAATTATTTTGAATATGCCACGTCTTAAAAGTAACACAAATTAACAATTCAATGATCAAATTATAATAGAATAATAAAGTAACTAATTTTTTTTTTTCAAAATCAGTGATCAAAACTAAACAATATTGAAACAAAGATGACCAAACTTGTTTACCGCAGGATCCACAACCCCCCCCCCCCCCACCACCACCAAAAAAAAAAAACAAGCAATACAGCCTAGTAAACGTTCCAAGATTCAGCATAGTTTAAAGTACTCAAAATGAGATGCATGTAACAATCAAGTTATTGCTCAGTGATAAAATAATCCACACAATGTTTTCTTCTCCACCTGACAAAAATAGTACCAAGACATTGTCTACCTTCCCACATTTTTAACCAAAAGAATAGATTCTTCCTCTTCTCAATCGAAGTTTTTGCTCTCTACTTACCTGTTTATCGGTGCTCAAAGAGGACAGGGAGGAACCTCAAGGGTTGTCCCAGCTTGGATTTGACCCCATCCAATCAGACGCCAATGCTTCTCAACGCGCCGGCTTAGTGCAATCTTCTCTCCCTTGCTGGTGCATACAGGTGATGTGAGTTGCAGCTTTGCCAAATCATTCTTTACAGCTATGACTCGAGCACCAGTTGACATAGACCCAATATTCAACATTAGGATCTCTCCCTTGGCCAGCTTCGACACCTTTCCTTGCCTCTCTGAGCCCTTCGTCCTAACACCAAGAAGCCTTCGGAGAAGGAAGAAGTTTACCTGCACAATTAGAACAGACAACAATCTGGAAGATGATAGCAGTCGGCATTTTTTATAGTTTTTCCATGAAACAACCTATGTTACTCAAGATTGGGTCTAAGGGCCAGACATAAGTATGTGTCCGGTAAATTTATATTCATTATTATAGCTTTTCTATATTTTTGGAGGGCCATATCCGTATCCCATGTCCAAATATAAGTATAAAATAGATATTTCAGGAAATTGAAGAGCCAGATTAGCATCTTGGTAAAGAAATTTAACACCTACCTCGAGCTCAACATAAACTTCTGGGAGTGACCCAACCTCTCCGAGGACTTGACCCACCAACCTATCCGCACGTGTCAAGGTTGGATCCATAGTTGTTCCAACACCAATTAGACCTCCCGGAACAGCATATTGTAGCTCATTTTGTTCAGCATACAATGAGACTATTCTGGAATATATGGGTGTGCATTTGATGTTTCCACTTTCATCCTTAACAACAATCCCAGGACGAACTTCAATAAATTGGTTCACCTTCAAAACACCCTGAAACGAACTAACATTAACTAAATAACCATGAATTCAAAACCAAAGCTACTGAAGCTCACTCTAAATCCGTTCTCTAGCAACTAGCTTTTTAGTAAAAATTGATATAGACAAAGCATGAACAAAGAAAATAATAAGGCAAGGTCTAGGGTTTATGGTAAATAGAACTTTGTATCAAATGTAGCATTCATCTCCAAATAAAGACCAACAACTACATTCCGGATAAATACATACCCTGAGTATACTTCCACCAGCAACACCACCTTTAATCTCATCAACCTCAAAACCTGGCTTATTGACATCAAATGATCGGATAACAATCATGTTAGGGGGCGAGACGAAGTTTCGCTCGGGAATAGGGATCTTCTTAACAATGTACTCGCACACAACATCAATATTATATTTTAGCTGTGCAGAAATCGGTACCACAGGTGCACCATCAGCAACGGTACCCTGCAATGGATTATTTTGAGAAAAAGATTCAGAAGAAAAACAATAATGAAATATCTGTCCTTTATTTGAAAAATATATAGAAAATAACCTGAATAAATTTTTGTATTGCTTCATGTTGATTGATGGCAACATTCTCTTGAATAAGATCAACCTTGTTTTGAAGAATTATAATATGCTGGAGTCGCATGATTTCAACTGCGGCCAGATGCTCAGATGTTTGAGGCTGCGGACAGCTTTCATTGGCAGCAATGAGAAGTAATGCACCATCCATGATTGCTGCTCCATTAAGCATAGTAGCCATGAGAATATCATGACCCTGATGGAAAAATTGGAGATAAAACATAAATCCAATTACAACAAAATGTTAATCCCTTTTATAACACTGAAACAAGAGTGATTGATCAAATGAGAGAGTCGGGAAAATTAAAAACTATCCCCCAAAGAGTAGCACTTAGGACCTTACTGGGCAATCTACAAAAGACACATGTCTCAGCAACTTCATCCTACAATTTTCAAAGCCAGACACATCACAAAGTGGACTATCCTCCTTTCCGCTACCATATGCCCTAACAAAAAAAAGAGAGAGAGATCACAGTTAGTGTTATTAGTAATGTCATTAAATAAATGTTGAAAAAACAGACCAGATGTCAAACCAGGCCTCTAATTACCAGTTCAACAGGTTGGTTGTATTAAAAATAATATTTTAATATTAAATAAATATTTTTTGATAAAATATTAAATAAATATCAAGTATAATACATACTAAATAAAAATATTTATTTGACTATATGGTACAAAATTTTATATAACCACATATAATAAACTTTTTATTAAAAATAAAGAAGGTTTAAAACCAGTTTTTAGAACAGTTTCTTTGCTGGTTTTTTACCGATTCAACCGGTGTTTAGCTGGTTCAAAAAAAAAAAAGCAATTTGATGATATACACTGAACCAAACAGGTCACCTATTCCCAGTTCGACTGGTCAATCCAATCCAGTTTTTTAAACATTGCATTAAACTGACTAAGAAAACAATTGCTGGATGTCAACCTACTTGTAGCACATAGGACGAGGGCATCGTTCATCTTCGCATTTGTATATCTTTGCATTTGCGTATCCAAGCTTTATAGTAATATTGCGCTCCAATTCGTTCTTAAAACGAACAGTCTACAGTGAAGGCACAAATCACACAAAGCAAAGTGTATCATGTTTAAATCAACGGCAACAGTAGTCACCATACAAAAGGCACAAATTACTAATCAAATCCTAAAAAGGACAGTTATCATATCCTAGTTCTGTATCACCCAATAAAATAATCACCTGAACCCCGGATATTGCTTTCACAACTGTTGACTTCCCATGTGCGACATGCCCTATGGTGCCTGATAAATTGTATTCCGAATCAAAAGATAGATCAATAAAGGCCCTGTAAATAACTAGGAGATTGCACCATAATGATACATCATAAATGCTACAAGTAATTTGATCAAAAGGAATTCAAGCATTACCAATATTTATAGTAGCCTGACGTGATATAACTTCAGGGGAGAGTGGATGCAACTTAGTTACATCCAGTTTACTTAAGTCTTGCTCCATCAAACCTTTTTTCGACATTTTTGCTGCTCCTGATAAAGTTATTTATGCTTCAATATGAACTGTAACCAGAGCATATCCCAAAGAGAGAGTTATCTCACTAAATGTATTAGCAAAAGTGTAGCTAATTATAGGAATCTGGAGATTAAGCAACCCTAAGAAGTCAAATTCAAAACAGTGCCACAGAACAAACGAAGCATAAATGCGAAAAAGTACAGTTTCGACGGAAGGCCTTTACTTGGCAAAGCTTTTGGTCTGAGCATCAAATAACAGTATAGGAATGTTGTCTTTGAAAGATCAAGTACAATTTTGTTAAGGAACATGATTTTGACTACTTAAGTACATAATTCACTGCCCAGAAACCCTAAATGGCTAAATCCAATAAACCCTGATTAATTCGCAGCCCAAAATCCCCTAAATCTTATAAACCCTGATTAACTAAGTTCCTAGTTCACTGCACCCAAAACCCTGAATACAATAAACCCCGGTTAATTAAGTTCCGAGTTCACTGCCCAACAACCCTAAATCCAATAACAGATGTTTGATTTAAGTTCCTGATTTATTGCTCATAAACCCTAAATCCCACATACCCAACAAGCTCAAAATTTTCAATCCTTAAGT